CTAATGTAAGCACTGAGTTTTCAAGGTATGCGCCACAGTGGCAATCTAGGAACGCGAATGTATCGCCAGCGCTTTGAACTCAACGAAATGAGAGTGTCCACCTGTGATAGCAGATGTTTCAATTTTAAGACTGATTGATTGTAGAATGCGAAGGTCAGCTGGAATGCCCGCACCAGCGGTGATCATCACCAAATCGCCAACCACCAACTGCTCAGGTGGTATCGGAAGCTCTTCGCCGTCCCTTATCACAACACACGAAGCTGGTAGCAGAAGCTCAAAATCACTGACAACCTGAAATGGTTTCGTGTTATAAATGAGATTAATCAAGAGAAAGTTGATGCTATCAATTTAGGACCTAAGAAAAATGTTCGTTGACCGAGGCCTGTTACAAGCCCGAAAGGGCATCAGTGTTGAAGCGGGACTGAACAGATTATCAGCCTCGAACAAGTTAACTGATTATCGCTTTCAGCAACTCTGTATCCTCTTTCAAGGGGGTACAAAATATATCGTCGACATTTCAGATTGCAAAAAGTCTCTCATTAATCGATCAAATAATTCCTAAGCTATAAAAGGAGCACTAACCTTACGAGCTTTTTTCTCCTGATAGAACGACATAAACGACATAATGAAAACAATAGCGATAAGAATGGCCGTACAATAAAGATTCAGTGGCTCATTGTTACCATGAGCCAAATGAATGAGGTAGGTTGCAATACTTAGGATGGCCGCACCTGTAAGTAATCAGTTTGGTTCTATTTTTTAAAATCTGTTTGCACACTGATCTCATGAAATAATAACTATTTGTTTGGTAAAATACAGTACTTCAACTCAGTATTGAAATGAGTGTTGAAGAATCGTTCAGAAACGGCTAATCGCTACAGTGTGGTTATGAATTTAGACAATCCAATGAAATGTTTAAAAAACGAACGAACCAATCAATAGAAGCCAAAATTTATAGAGGAACTGTCTAGCAAAGAGTTTGAAGTTGCCTATCTGTTTTGGTGGTTCAATCACATTGGCTCCACCATCTTGAAGTCGTTTTCTGGAAAAAAAATAACAGGAAATTTAGACGGTGATGACGACTAGAAATATCGTACCTGATAGGTTCTACACAAAATGAAAGGCTGGATGGAAGCAGTACGGGAAATTCATTCAGAATGTGGGTTCAGTTTGAAATGATGTGACTTTGAGAATGAGATCAAAGACGAATACCTGGCCTCAATAGACGATAGGCCACTGCTACGCTCCGGGAAGTCGGCATCAATAAAAGAATCTGAATAGACGTCGCGAACTTGCGCCAACGTCAAATGGTGCTCAACATAAGAACTACCCAAACTGTGCCAGGGGTCATCTGCTTCTGATCTTATCGGATGAATCACACGTCGGCGAAGCCAACTTGCGATCGGCCACCTGGATGCTACATCTGAATTTTCAGTTCAATTTTATAATCAAATCTGCAAGTATACACCATTGATACACTCAACTAGACGCACCTGTCACAAGAACTTATATCAATGCATGGGATCCTGTTTTATGTGACCAATGAAACTTCATTTTTGGAGGGCTCTCTGAGCTGCACATGCAGATGAATGCTTGCATCCGCAATATCACAGCGATTGTTCCAGCTTATTGTGTCATATTTCAAAATAATTTATCATCANCAATTCCAACGGATTTGAACGCGTTGCACAAGTCTTCTATGCACTATCAATTGCTATCTGACATTGCATCTATCATATGAAATCAAGTTTGTACCCGTCGCATGTATCACTAAAATCTAAAAAATCGCCGTATCGAATGATCTTTTTCGACGATTATTTGTATTTGATAAACACTCGATTTCTTTCAAGTCAACACTGAATGATCAAAAATCAATCGCGTACACATGCATGCAGCTTACAACATTGACATATTCATTTAGCCTCAGTGGATGACATTCGCTACTCTACGCAATTTATAAATTATGAGAGAACAATCGTGGAAAAATTTCCTCTTATAATGGATTTATGGACGCGATAAAAGCGACGCTTTGACGTGTGGATGCAGCAAAAAATCTTGCCTGTTGATTTACCTAGTGCATGTTTGGCTGGAATTTTTGGGAAGTCAGAAGTCAGTTTTAAACCGCTAAAACCAACAGGTTCGTCTTATATCAAACTTGTTCAGAATATGGACCACCCTCACTAAGAGAAACTGCAAAGACTTCTGATACGATCGCCAAATCCATTGATAGCAAGCACTTGACCGTTACCAAGCTTACCACTACCGCTTAACAATTATTTGAATTCTATTTAACANAACAAATCAACCACCACTCACCTTTGTTCATTTTGCGTATCTGAGCAACACACAAAGAGCAGTGTGATCTAGCACTTCAGAATGCCATCGTATGACGTAAAGTAATCGAATAGCTTTTGTTCTTCAAACACAATGACAGCGAATGGTTTGTATGGAATGTAAAATGTTTTTTCGAACAGTTACGTCTACTTCGCGATCGCCAAATGCGAATATTTCAAGGAACTGAAAGTGCTTTTTAAGAGATTGTTGGATGTTTCATCGAGCTGTCATGTGATGTTTTCATGTAAAAATCACATACAAATCATGATGCGATGAGTACAACGCAATTGATTGCATAATAAAATTGTGTTATTGTCCGATCAGTAAAGGTCGTTAATCACTCTTTTAAAATGCACTTCTGTGAATAACTAAGTGTGTAACTTAGTTATCAGTCATTTTGAGGAAGAATGGGAGGTTTAAATCCGAGATCCCTGGCCGAATGTAAAATTTCTAAACGTTCATCAGGTTTCGATAGTTCAGTGAATCTTGAAATTTTTTAACGGAAATGAAACCGTTCTTGCGTAATGTCTTCTTGCGATGCTTGAGTAAGTTGTAAAAGAGGAAGGGAAATTTTGGAAGTTAAAATTTGAAGTGTTGTGTTGAACGAAAATCGCTATTGAGAAAATTTATTCCACTTATTTAATGTAAGTTTTCGTTGCTGTCGTAACTGCGATCCACTTGCTTGGAGCTCTTACGCTATCCTATTCCTTGAATTGAAGTTTATTAAGCACCACGGATATGATGAAAGTTTCAACACATCGCAATACCACGATGCTTTGATAACGACAAAATTATTCTCTATGCTATGCTTTCATAAGACTGAATATTGAGCTGTTGAGAACTAGCAAAATTTATGGGCGATTCCGCTCAACGGGAGAGAAGATTTTCGACTGAGAAGGTCTCTGAAGAACGAGGTTTGGAGTGGAGCGCAGCACTTTAATCACATTGCCTTACAACGAACATAGAGAAAAGTCGAAAATTTTATGACTAAATTTAGTGCAATTGGCAACAACAACAACAACGGCAGTATCGACCAAAAATCAGAACCGTTTGCTGTGTATCGTCAATTAACAAACAAAAACTCGTCCATAAGTCACAGATCATTATTATCAATCCACGAATTTGTTTTGATAGTCGTCTTTCAAATATTTCTCTGAAAGTTACCTGCAGGTGTAATGCAACTGTTTTATTTCAAATGTCAAAAAAAAAACAAAAACAAAGGCTCCATAATAATGATTCCTGAACTTATATGGGGTATCCTGCAGAACATGCCGTGGTATTTTATTGCGATAGGCCAATGTAAAGGGAGAGCTATTGTAATATGGCACTGTAATATTCCAATACATTTTCATGAAGTCCGTTCTACTTGTCAAAAGATTATCTCCATATATGTTCCAACAAAGATCCTGCGTTTATTTTTCGACTCAACTATTTGACAAGAATTGACCCAGAATGTGAACGCAGAAACACAGTTGCATGACGGTGGCAATCTCAAAGACTCAGACTTACAACGAGACAAAGTGATTGATTTACGAGGACGCATATTTTGAGAAGCACTACAGTCGGACGGTCAACAATTATAAATTTCACTCATGAGGCTAATATAAGATATTCTTTTCTATTAGAGCCTGCCTGAGCCATCAAAAAAAATGTTGGCTTCAGATTGTACATCATATATTCCAAAGTTATCTATTTGCTCATAGCTGATTTAAGACGTAACGACGGATTCGACTGCTTGATAGATAAGAGGTTCAAACTGTAAATGATATGAAAGTATGATACTCCTATGGAACATTCTTCACAGTTCTAATGGACATTTTTAGAGAGTACTTAAGCAAATAAGACACTGATGTGTTTGACAGACCAGTACTAATTGGAAAGTCCAATGCTGCTACGAGGAAACAGAACGTTAAAAGTGTGATCCATGTCACAGTTGAAGAGAACAGATTAATCGAATAATAGCAATTGATCTCGTAATATAATTTTTACAGCATTGCTTCACTTCAGTAAACAACTGGTAAAAAACACCCGAACTCCGTAAATGTAAGCAATGAAACTCATAAGTAGCTGTACATATCAACATCGAAGAAAGTCGATAGTGACTTGACAGTGCGCAATTCAGCTGAAAGCTCACTTCACTAAACAGAACGGGTTTTACCGCTCCGATAAACATATTAACCGTTTTGTCGGAATCAATCAATTTCGAAAAAAATCTCGAAGTGAAATAGCAACAGAGACAACTGAATAAAAAAAGATCAGTTATCAATAACGAATGGGAATAGGAAGTGGCAATTGAGTGTTTAGTGGTAATAAAATCGAGAATGATTGATTATCAAAGAACTGCGGCCCTTTTGCTCGTTCCTTATCTGTTCCATTGTGTGTCGTCGATATGTGCATAATAAATACTGAAAAGACTGGTTTCATAAGATGATACGTACAAATCGAATGAATGTTATTACATAAATAAAATAACTTGATCGATTTAAACTGAAAGTGTCACCGCATTTTGTTACATCAACTGATCATATGGAACGATATCAAATCATAGGAAATGTAACATAATTTTATGCTTGAAATTCAGAATATTATTTGACTGGTTCGATATAATATCATGAATAGTTTGTCAGTAATACTCGAGATAAGCACACTTCTAGAGTACTCAACGGTTCCGTGAGAAAGCATAAATGATCGATTGTTTCAAGACTGAACGCATGTGTCATGCATGCTTCCCTCGTAATACATTGAAGCAACAACTTGTAGTGTATTTGGAAATTCTGTATTGTTTTTTTTACGTTTTTGAATTTTGAATTTGGAGGTGTTCGCGAACTATCTCATACTTAGTAGCAGAATGAGGGTTCATTGAATGAATGGTAAATTAAGAGTTAAGTCCACCTTATGCACAATTCATATGCAGTTCTAATGAAATCAATTGAAAACAATCATATCAAGTTGCTTAGATTGACACTATTGAATATTCATTTCACTAACCCGTCAGTTGCTATAATCTGTTTCAATTTACC